ACAACTACAACCATCCAGGGTCACACAGGAGGGGGTAAGCACGGGGATTTTTTTTTTTATTGTGATTTTCTTGCCCCACATTTCTCCTACGGTCCGTGCTGATTTTTTACTTCATCACGACAAGGGTCCAGCCGTCCATTTCCCTCGTCGACGGTGCTAACGTAGACGTTTGCCACTCACGCGAGATTCTCAGCCNGGGCGACCGGTTCTACCACTTGAAAAGTTCAGAGATGACGCCTCGGTCTTCCATATACCCGGAACCCGCACACATCGGAAACAAGGGAATTAGACTGAACAACAAGACCCACATGCTCCAGGGTGGAGCAAATAATTCGTTACAGAGCCCGGCGCCCGAATACGGTGCACTGCCCTTTGCTCGCGAGAAATGGCGCACGGCAAGTCATCTTAGGGGGTGCGACTGTGAAAATCAGGAATGGTAACTCTTGCCCTATAGAGCAGCGACATCCAGGTTACCACAAATTGTACCCATTTAGTACAACACTGCCGTTCCACATTCATTTTGCATGCTCGCGGCGACACAAAAAAAATATATGCTGCTGCACGGGCTCTGTCATACGACGAATGGGAATGGAAAAAAAGAGTCGGACTGCCTGTGCAAACAAGGAGATATAAAGGACGAGCAGNCTGCCGTTCCACATTCATTTTGCATGCTCGCGGCGACACAAAAAAAATATATATAGGCATATGCTGCTGCACGGGCTCTGTCATACGACGAATGGGAATGGAAAAAAAGAGTCGGACTGCCTGTGCAAACAAGGAGATATAAAGGACGAGCAGCAGCTGCGGACAAACATCCTCTAGACAGACGATCAGACGATATTCCGCAAGAGGAACCCCGCAAAAATACAAACAAACGCGGACCATCGATCGACACATACGTGTACATCACAAAATGGTCTACATTCGTGCAACTTGAGAGGCTGCGTGCCATCTGCCGCCTGCTTGCTTATTTGTTCAGCTTGTCGCGCCTCTCTCAGCGTGGCAATGATTTACCAAAAAAGGAAGCAATACCTGGCGACCTACTACGCAGCGTTAGTTGGAAATGTATGCTTCTATCTTTTCCACGAGTCTTGCATGAGGAAACCACACAGAGATTTCGGTATGGAGGCGGACAGCGCGTTCGCAAGACGTGGGTGCACAGTTCAGTCTCACCGTGCACTCGCAGCGCTCTCCCCGGAAGGTTCGACGATTTTTGTGTAGCAACCTTTCTCGAGCTCGCGAAGAACATCTGCCGAAAACGCCATGGCTCCGTCATAACACGCACTAGGTTTTGCCGTCGTTGTCGCGTGAAGCCAGCGCTTACGCCGAAGCAAACGCCGATCTAGCGTCAGCAACTGCCAGTAGCCCGCCCCCTCCGAATACTGTAACGCCAATCGTGTACATTTCGCGAGCGGAGGGAAAGAAAATAAGATAACCATGAGTCCGAAGGCGGCGCAAGGATCGCTAACGCAACGTGTGCGTTATTTTGCGGTTGCCAAACAATACAATCTAAGCCATAACCACCCGACAATAATCCACCGCATCAGAGATTGACACATTCTCGCTCAAGCGCGATCAGTACTAAGTGCATCCAGACATACGCAACGGTTCCCTTGGGCTGCACAGATAGGGGGTGGTGCAGGCAGTCTATGGTGCCAGGACAATCTCCACGTTTTCGATACGGGCACGGCACAGACACGGCGGCGATAATCATTCGAGGGTATGAGCAGGCGACGGGGGCGGGGGGGGGTAGTCATAGTCGTGCATGCCGTAGTATTTTAGACCATTGACCTCGCATCCCTATAACGACGGGACGGAGCACGCCGGGATATCACCGTACCAGGCTCTCACATCACCAAGCGTGAAGGGCCGTGAGGTATCCGGCGAGTCGCATGAAGGGCGCGCTGCATCCTACTAAGGGTGTTCGGCATCTTGTGCTTACTTCATTGCGTACGATGAAAGCT